AAAAAATTTACACGTTCCTTAAAATTCAGGTAAACTCTCATCAGCTCATTTTTTAATGCACCCCCTAAAGAGGAACTCCCAGATTGTTTCTTATAGGCTGGGGTCTCTCAACAAATTTTTCCATCCTTGGGTGTTGGAACAATTTAGCACTGAGAATGAGTGAATGAAACCTTAAGCAGACTAGACAAAGACCAACATCCTCCTCAATACATAATTAAATTACTGACAGCACCTTCAGTTCTTCTGGATACAGCTGTGTTTCCAGAAACGGGTTCACTCTTGTGAGTAATCAGTTGGATATAGCAGTAGCAGGGTTGTGTCTCTTCAGAAGTAGCTTTGAGATGGCACATTTCCTAAGCCCTGTACTTCTCGGCAACTTCCCAGACACCCTGCCCAGCTGGGATACCAAACAGGTGTGACACTGGCTGGAACTGCTTATTAAGCAGTGGTCTCTTGCCTTTTCATTATATGTGAGCTAGAACCCTGAAATGCTGCTGCCTGACTCACGTCGCTGGGCCCTCCCCAATCACCCTTACTCTTGGAAGACATGTTAAGCCCTACAACAACATCACACAGAATTCTGCTTTCTCTCAAAGTCTTCTTTTCACCTGAAAAGTATCCTGCCTGCAGATTACAATCACCTTTCTGCCTCAGAGGGTACAAGTTTCTCTGCACAGCAAAAAATGTCAGGTTCTACTGCTCACGCAATGTGCTGGGAAGTTGTTGTAATTTGTGGGAACTTGTGCAAGACATTAACTGTCCCTGAGGGTTCAACCTACTCAGTTTTCATCATATTGTAGATTGTATTTTCAACACCTTTCCTCACATATTCACCCTATACAAAATAGTATCTGCTCTTTACATCTTCCTGTGCCACCATTTCTGTATTTTTTGGAAACTTCCATATTTTGCCTAGCTTCAATTTCAAAATTCTTTGGTGACCCAACCCAGAACACCAACTCAGAGTACACCTCGAGTAAAACTCCCAGTACCTTAAGTCCCAGCATTCTTGCTGAGAATTTCTCACTCCCAGATTCTACTAAAATCCTCTTTGAGCACGAGTTCTGAAATTCAGCTTCTTGGTCATTAGATCCTCAGAATTAACTGTGAAGCTCTATTACATGAACAGTTTACAAGGGTAAAACATGAGCCAAAAAGAGTAATATGATCTCTATTATATAGATTAAAGGCTTGAAGATAGGAGAGATGGCAGTGACCAGATCTGTTAATTGTGGATATCCTACCTTGGTGAACAGGTAGGCTCTGAGTTTCTAGTTGATCATGTAAGCCTGCATTTCTGTATTCCCACTACCCAATTGCTCTCTTCTCTTTTTTTCGGGTCCCTGTTTGACACTGCAACCAAATTCAGCCTGAAAGACAATGAGGAACACAAATGTTGTTTATCATCCTGATGCTCTTGAGCAGCACCATGGGGAACAACAGGGAAGTGAATGTGAAGTGCTGAGGATGCAGGGAGAAGTGAAAGGAAGAAGTGCTTTTGCAGCCCCGGTTCAAATGCATGTCACATTGTGCCCTGGGACTGTGCTACTGTGCTGATATGCAAGTGCAGGGTAGACCTGTGACAACACTTTGGTTGTCTTCACATCTGTCTTCGAAACTGGCTGTTTTCTACTTGTGTGTCTACCTCAGCACAATCGTGTTTGAGGGTATTTGAGCCAATGCAAACACTACTTAAATGGCAAGGATCAGAAGCAAACAAAGAATTCTGTTCAATCAAATAAAAGACATTTAAGCAAATAGTAGATTTCTGGAAAGGATTGTTTCTTTTAAATAACCAGAGTGCAAACTCATATCCAATTCACGGTTTTTGTCAAGTTGCCAGTGCAAGCCCTCAGGGAGACTTAAACAAAGATAATGTTACTGATACTGTAGTTTCTGTTGTTTAATATAGTTTATTTCTGTTTGTTTGGGTTTTTTTTAAAGAAATTAATATTTTCTTATTAGATTGATTATGCACATTAAAACAAATCTCTACAGTGGTAACAAACTGGCCTCTGAAGTATGGATAATGCTTTTTTCAGTTCCTATAGAAGTGAAGAAGATGCAGTACTCCTTTTATCAGTAGTTTCAAGTGTAATAACTTCCTTTTACATTTCTAGCCAGCTTTGGATACAAAACATGTGAAGGAAGCAGTATATAGCATGTATTTTGTATAATAATAAGCTGGCATTTTACTGGCAGTTCAGATGTGTAGTTGGTTCTGTTATTTTTTTGAATTTGCCTTGGAAAATGACTGGTCATGTTCCTGAACTGCTGTTAAGCTACAAATGCCCTGCTGTCAAGTCATCCTCCATGGAGAAAGAGCTGGATTGCCCTTCTAACAAAAGAGCACCAAGCAATAGTTACACTGACTCAATTAATAGCAGGGTATCATCTGCTGGAAAGCAATGCCATATGTCCAGGTTCCCGGATTTGTTGGTATGTGTGACAACAGGACCAGGGACTCAGTGTGGAAACGGAAATTTGCTGGGCATATTTAAACAACCTTACAACCTTACAAAGGCAAAAAGCTTATTTTACTTTGAATGTAATGTCTTTGAATGTGAATGGTCCTGATCTCCCAAAAGGAGATAACAAAAAATAACTAACATACACTACTTGATTCATCAGCTGAAAAACTGTTATCTAAAGAGCCTGGGCTTGCAGAGCAGGAGGAGTAGCTGTTATGTGCTTAGTGGACTTTTCCTGGAAAAGAATTAGATATAAAGATTTTTAGTCAAGTGTGAAGACCTTCCCAGCTACCAGAACAGCAAAGAGATTTGTAAAGAAAATATTAAGATTGGTTTGAATTGAGTATGGAAATGTCTCTGTGTGGCATCTTGAGTAGAATCCACGAGGCAATGGTTATAGAAATGACGCATATGTGATAACCAAGGACACAAATAGGAGCAATTATACTTGTAAATGCTGACAAATGCAGTGTGTACATCAAAAGGCCTGTACTCTGAGAGGCCTACAGCAGAACTGTTGTATTAGCAGAAGACCAGCCTTCTGGTAAGGGGAAGATGGCATCAAGTTTACAGAAAATCATAGGGGCCATTCCTCTGTCAGCTCTGCAGAAAGAAGACAAGAGGCAGTGAACTTGCCCGAAATCAGCAGAGGGTGAAATTAGGCTGAGACAAAAAAAAAAAAAAAGAGCATAGCAACTCTCTCCTAAAAGGCATAGAAAATCTGTCCCAAAACTGCTTTGATGCCACCCAAGGGAACCCAAGAGATGCAGAAGACTTGACAGCTGTCATCCTATGAACCCTGTGTCATAGCACAAATGATCCTGGCCAGACTATTTGGACATGTGCATTTTGAGGCTTTTGAGTGAGGGAATGACTATGCCTGAAAAAAGTTTTCATTTAAATACTGTTTTACCCTTCCAGAAGGTCTTGTGCTGCATTTTGTAACATTTAATTCCTACACCACCTTCACTGTTGCAATTGGTTTTAGTCAGTCATACTTGCACACGCGGTAGTTTGCTTTAGTAGGAGGCCATTTCATGTCACCACTTGCATGGTGACTAAGCACCTGTCTTTGGGTTTGTTGGATGTAAATACACAAGGTGTGGCTGCTGCCTAGAAAAAAGGCAAGTCTAGATTTAGACTTGGCCCTAGCTTCTTTGTATGATTTGTTGCATTTTCTTCCTCTGTCTGATTTCAGGAGAAAGATGTCTCTCCTTCCACATCAATGCCAAGCCAACATATTTTTCTAAACTCCTGTCAATAGGCTGTGTATCTGTTTTAGCAGATTCTGCTTTCATGCACAGACCTCTGGCATGTCTCTCTTCAGGAACTACAAAAGTTCTTGAATACTGAATTCAGTGAGGTAAGAAGAGTTTCAGTTTTATACCTGACAATGTGTTTAGCTGGTTGTAGTTACTAAGTCAATGAGTAGTTTTCTACTTCTACTTGTCTTTTACTCCCATCTTCATTTGTGATATTGTTCATGCTAGTGTATTAACATTCAAGGCAGGAATATTTCTGAAAATTAGTAGACATACTGAGCAATGTAGGGAGCTGTGAAGTAGACATAGTACTGCCCTTGTTGCAAAGTAACCTTATCAGAAATAGCTTTACCCTGAGCACAGACTGATAACATCTGGCTCAGAACGTGTATTTCTACAGCAGGAGCAGATATATGAGTGAATCAAGGAAACCTTGTCCTGCCCATCAGCACAATCATGACTGATCATGAGGTGTGATTACACTGGTTCCAAGTTCCATTTTTGCCTCTGTTTAGTTTCTGCTTCTGTGGATACCCTTCCTCCTGCCCCTCCTCAGCCAGACACCCACCAAATGACCTCTGTGTCAGACGGAGAACATAGCCCCTATTAACCGGTATTGCTGAAGCCCAAAGGCTTATAACCCTTCTGTTTAAATTACTGTAATTACAGGTCTACTTGTACTTGTTACATGTATAGAGGTCTAACGATTTTTTTTCGGTATTGTCAAATGCCTGATCTGGGGGATACCCTGTACCAATTACCTGTTACATTAGTCGGGTGTTGACTGATCAGATGCCCACTCCCTTGACTGTGTAATACTAAAATTCCCAGTTCTTCCAAGAATTTTGCTTTCCTTTGAACCGTTCTGACTACGCCCCTCACGCGCTAATTATTTTTAGACATGTTTGGCAGCAAACGCGCCTTACTTTCAGCAATCACCACGACCGCACGGGTGTAGATGTTGTCATGCTCCTCCCACAGCATATCTCCCTCCTCAGCGCTCTGCGGCGCCGGCCGGGCCCGCGGGGCTCTCCGGGGGTGCGGGCGGTGCGGGGGCCGGGCCCGCGGGGCTCTCCGGGGCTGAGGGCGGTGCGGGGGCCGGGCCCGCGCGGCTCTCCGGGGCTGAGGGCGGTGCGGGCGGTGCGGGGGCCGGGCCGCGCTCGGCGCTGACGCGGTGGGCCGGGCCCGGCGGGCCGGGGCGGGGCGGGGTGCCGCTTTAGTGCGCGGCCCGGGCGGCGGGGCCGCACTCCGGGCGGGCCGTGCAGCGCTGCCGGCCCCGCGGTTATGCGCTGGGGCCATGTCCTTGCCGGCCGGCGCCAGGCTCGTCCCGCGCCCCGCGGGGAGCCCCTCCCTCGGCCTCGTCCTGCTGCTCCTGCTGCTGCCGTGCCCCTGCGGGGGAGCGCCGCGCCGCCGGCCCGCGGGGCCGCCCGTGGTGCTGGGTAAGAGCCGGGGGGCGGCGGGGCGGGCGGCGGGCACCGCGGGGCCCATCCCACAGCCCCGGACCCGGCGGGAGGTGCGGGGGGCCCAGCCCCGCCCGGCACTGCCCGGGCACTGCGGGGCACGGAGCGGCCGCCCCGGGACCGCCCCGGCAGCTCGGGCTGGCCCCGGGGCCGGGCCGGGCAGCGCACCGGGTGTGCCCAAGTACACGGCTCGCCCTAAGATATCTCCAGCTCGTTAACTAACGCCAGACCTCGCTTCTTAAGTTTTTTTCTCTGTGTGAACCTTCCCTAAAAGAGGCTGGAATCAGATGTGGAAAGAGGAGCGATTGGGTGTTCCAGCAGTCGAGCTACACGTATCTAAAAAATAATTGGCTCAAATGTGAAAAACGAATATTTCCTACTGGCCTGTGGTTACATCTGTTAACACAAGGTAGTTTTTAGTGAATATGTAGGCAATATTCCTATCATAGTTAGTTAGTAATACGTGTTAGATGCTTCTTGTACCTTTTGAGGAGAATGGTAAATAAATTTTAAATGTTTTAATAACTTGCCTACTGAAACTGTAATTCTGAACCATTCCAAGGCACTAAGTGCATTTGGTGGCAGCAGTGTCAGCAGGCTGTCCTGTGACTGTATTCAGTATGCTGCACATTCTTATGCGATTAGTCTCAATGGTAAGGGGGGAAGAAAAAGTAAGAAAATGGGAAAAATATTGGGAAAAGGATAATCAGTGGCGTGCAGTTCAGTTTGAGCTCCATTTCTTGATAATAATTTAGGCTCTATTGTTGATTTTATTACTACTGTTACAAACTTCTGACCTAAAAGGGTGAATTCTAACACAGCATCTTTAAAAATGTTCTTGTTATCATAGGAACAGGGTGTACGAATCCACAGTTCTGAACTGACTGACAGGATGTAGATTTGGAAGTAGAAACTGCAAAAGGATGTCCTAAGGGCTAGGAGTTGAAACCTGAACAAAAGTTCTTTGAATTCTGCCTGAGGAAGCTAGAAACAATCTTTTATCCCATCTTTCCACTCTATAATGCTGGGTTTTAGTAATAGGCCTTGGCACTTGCTTCAGCACAAGCTTCTTGATGACAAAGGTGATAGTGTGTTAGTTACTGATCCAGTATTGAACTCTAGCTGTGAAGGAAACAAAGATGAGAAAGCAATACTGATTGTAGAAGCGTGGAGTTACTACTGATGGATCTACTTTAAGTATATATGTTCCCTAAGGATGGTTTTAAGAACCATGGCTGACCTACATTTTCTTAAGAGACGTTCTGGTAAATGCTCTGGCTGAGTGGACATTCATCAATGAGTGCATTACAACAGACTTTCTTGCTGTTGTAAACCAGCAATTTTCATCAAACGCTACAGAACTTGCATCTCTTACTATTCTCTTCAGTTTTCTGCTGCCTGGTCCTGACCTGTCCAGAAGGTGAAGGTTCAGTGGGTTCTAACATAAGGTAATTTTTCTGGGCTGCCTGTATGTTTGAGAAAGCAGGTACTCTTAGGGAGTGATTTGCTGTAACTTCCTATTGTAAAATACTATGTTTTTTTGATTTACAGCAGTTACTCTTGTTGTAAAAACACCTGCAGTAAGGGCTTAGCTTTGATTAGACATGACATGGGCAGTGAAGGTCAAACAAACACAGGAGAGGAAGGAGTAACTGTCGGTCACCTGCTGGTTCTGGATGAAATGTTCTCAGCTTGATTTTGGTTAACTTTTCATGGCCTTTTCTTCACCCTTCTTATATATGTGACATGTTAAGATAAGCTTTTTAGGAGTTACTGCCATGAGGATGGTGCAATGGTTTAGTGGAATTGTTTAGGGAAGCATTCTAAGTGCTGGCTTAACACAGGTGTTTGAGAGAGGGAAGAAAAACCCCCACTGGCTGTAAACACAAATGAAAAAGAGACTGAAGTGTGTGCAGGGCTGCATTATATGGGCCTATACAAGCCTGAGATGATTTTGGAGCCCATACAAGATGGGAACACAGAGTTGCTTCTCCTGATTTATCAGGCTGGCATCTAGAATCCTAACTCCTCATATATGTTCAGTTTTTAAATATGTTTTTGTCTTGTAGTAAACAGGATCTTGTGATCAAAGCACTTACTCTTGATTTGTTTGGAAGCTAAAACCCTTCAGTTTTAACTTCTGTAGAAAGGGGAGTTAACAAGTTTGGTCTTATTCTGTGTGTGGCAACATGGCCACTGATCTTAAGGAATAAAGAAAGAAGAAATGCTGTTTAAAGGAATGTTGTCAGCATAATGACACTTCACAAGTGTTTTAGACTAGTGATGGTCACAAGACCCAGTGTAGCTTACTCTCAAACCTTTTCTTGTAATGACCCCACTTTGCAGTTGCAACCTGTGCTTACCCAACTCCTGGAGGAGGAAGTAGAGCAGTAGCTTGCACGAGCATTGCTTGTGGGTGACTATGTTCTGCTGCCCAGGTACCAACCAAAATACTACTTCAAGAAATCTCACATCAGAAAATACATGAGCTGCACGAATACAGCTTGGTAATTCTGGACCATGGCTGTGATGGCAACAGGTCTCAGATTTGTAGAGGCCCCTGACTGGCTCAGGTGAAGGGAGGTTCTCTGGAACAGCTGAGCTCAGTACTCACCCAGCTTTCCTTGTACCTTTGTCTTGCTACCTTATGAGAAAATCAACCTGTTTAGGAGAAGTGATTAATCTAGTAATTGAATTAATTTAATGGAGGAGCTGGCACAAGGAATGTGGAGAGTGGCACCATGCTGTTTGGATTAGGTTAGTTTTTAACCTGGTCTGTGCATCATCAAGGTGCCTTGGTAGCAGGATTTACTATGCCTGGGGCTCTTGTTTGTACATAATAAGGGACCAAATTGTCAGGGGTAGTAACTGCCAGCAAAATACTGCAAAGCAATTGCTCAGTTTTCCCGGAGATTTGGATAACAAAGCATCAAATGTATTCATATAATAGTGATTCTACAGAAAAAGAGACAGGCAAAAGTCAAAATCTTTGTCCAGAGTCCTGCCTGAAGGCCTGAATATCAGGCACAATGCTCATTAAATCTAAGGTGATTATCTTGGATTCCTCTCTCAAGTGTTTTTTGGGAAAAGGGGACTAATTAAGATACTGATTTCCTTTTGTGCCTTTTTAAAGAGTTTTCTATTTAGCCAGGACAATGTGTTTATATAGAAAAATCTCCTTTAAGAATCAAAATAACCCACCAAATACTTCTGTTCTACTGACAATATCTACTGAACAAATACATATTCTGTGCAATTACTTCTGTGTATCTGCTTCGTGTTTACCTGAATTATAACTTTTTTGAACTTCAGTCTGATTATATTCAATACTCTTGTCTTCTAATGCTGTGAGAAGTAGTTTATTTTGTGGCTGCTCTCCCTCCATTTTCTCCTATAGTCCATCGATAATCACTGCATACTATCTCTCAGTTTAGAAATTTTTGGAGCTGATAACCCATCCTTATAAAACCAGCATTGGATTCACTGAACTCTTTACCTTTTACAGCTGACTCAACACAATTACTATATCAATGTTCTGATACCTTCTGCAAACAATTTGTTAGGTACTTGGCTAAAGTTTTCTAGAAAGACACCTAAATGAAGTTTGTTAATAATTGATTTACATGTAAAAGAGCTTTGCCTGTGAATTCCTGCTGACTGCTAATTGAGGTGTGCATGTTTGTATGGTCAGCTGGCTAGATGTCAGGAGTGATTTAAATGTTTATGCCTCATGTGATCCAAGGTATCTGGAAGTATCATGTGAGATGTTGTTTGCTTTCTTGTTCCTAATTTTAAACACAGGCCTCTTCTGTGGCAGTCTGTCGTGTCTGTGAGCTGCTTTGAGATGTTCTCCTTAGAGAACTGGGGTCAGGGTTTAACGTTAATTTTCCAGGGAAGTTGGAAATTGGTTCATTTTGAAGGAATACTAATTTATAGAACCAAAAAGATGACAGTTATATGAGGATATTATACCAGTTAAAAAGTATAATAGTTGATAAATACTCAAAAGCATTTGCATTTCAGATAAAAGTAGTAAAAAAAGTACCAATTGATGGCCTTTTTTTTTTAATCCCACACATACACATAAAAAATAGCCCAGCCCCCAACCCCATTATTATGTAGGCACTATTTTTAATTTTTTTTTTTTTTTTAACAGATAAAATTTGAGATCCTCCTATTCAGGGTGTTTGTTGAATGATCTTTTGTCTTTGTTATCTGAGCAGTATTAAGGCAAGTCACTATAAAGGTGCAGTTTGCTTATGGGAACCATGAATCTGTCACTAAGACTTAAGGATAGTGATAGGCATGAGTATGAATGTCCTAAAGCTAGTTGTTGTAATTCACAGGCTTGGAAAAGTCTGTGGCCACTCTTTAATAAAACTTGTAAATGTGCTTTCCATAAAGTGTAAACATACAAGAACACATCCCAAAAGGAGATCTACTATTTTTGTCAGGGCAGAGAGATGAAAAAAATCAGTGAAGGATACTATAATATTGAAAATGAATTGGATTCATCAGTGTACTGGGATGAGATCTGTTGGGATTCCTGTCTCTGAAAAATGAGAATGTGCTAGAACTGATAGAACATGACATCTGATGGAAGTGCCCTTTTTTTTTTTTTTTCCTGAATATGAAATCTCTTATTTGCAAATGTTGTAGTTCAGTAGAGGAATTACACAACTGTAAGTTGGGAAGCAAGGGTACTACTGAAGATCTTTTCTTGGACATACGGTTTTAACTAGTGCTGATGTATTTTGCAGAACTTCACTTGCCAGTTAGTTTGGGGTCAGCCTGCAGGCTTTAAAAAGTATGAACTTTATGTAATGTTTCCAGCAAAAAGGCTTAGAAACTACAGCTACCGGTAGATGAGAGGATGAGGAGAAAAACTGCTTAAAGGTAACTCTGCCCACAGATTGTTTCTCTGTATGGCCTGAAAGCAAAGCGAAAGATGTTTCTCTACTGCTTTAAATTCCATCATAGAAAGTCTGGAAAGGTATGTCCTTAACTTACAGAATTAATCTTCAGTGTGATATTTTTTAACCTGTTACTTATCAAAAAGCCACTAAGTAGTTCTCCAGCCAAAATGTAAATCATTAACTCTGTTAAACTGGGTGGGTTGAGAACTGAAGATCTTGCATATTTCTTTCCATAATCTCAAAAATCAAAATTTGTATTTTATTTCCTATAGCTTCATCATGAACCCTCTTCAGCTTACAAATATACTTTAAAAATAAAAAAAACCCAAGGTGTGAATTACAGTGGCTAGCATTTTCACTGTTATTGTGGAAATGTAAATACGACAAGCATTTTTGTTAATCCCTGCTTTATAAATAATCAGACCTCATACATGTACGTGGGAATTTATTTTTTAACTCCAGTATGTATCTTGGCACAAGTGGAACTTGTCCCTTATCTTTTGTTTGGAATTGCAAAAATTGCCATTTTTCATCTTGTTCTTTATCATCCCTTGAGTAAAAATCACTATGTCATGTTTCTCATCTTCTGCCCTGAACTGGACACAGGAGCACAGACTCTGTCCTCAAGAAGCTTGAAGATAAAATGTCTTAACTAAATTGAACTTGCAGTTAATCTAAGATTACTCCATTAAGTTGAAGTGAGACTTTGTGCAGTTTCCTGCTTTCAGCACTTTTGTTGATAAATGTATCTTGACTGTAACTTTTAACCTCTTCAGTGAGTTTCCCTCCTCTGAGCAGGAGCTGCTGAGGTTTTTGAACTGCACTCACTTATAAGCAAGTTCTTCAAACTCTCGATGTTTGTCGTCTAAGTCTTTGAAAGGCATCTTGATTTTTACCCAAGGAAATGATGTTCCCGGATAGAACAAAATGTCACTCTTTGTATTGAAACCCAAGACAAAAATCAACCTGTTCTGTCCTTGGCAGGTCTGCTGCTGAAACTGGCTAGTCACGAATGATTGATATAAATAGAATTACATTCTGTTCCTTTTCTAATTAAAAACACTGATACAGCAGAGGCACGAGACTGGAACAAGCTGTTGCCTTAGTTTTCTAAGCAATAACTAAGTAGCATTTTGTGAGGTTACAAGACTGAACTGCAGTAAACTCTTTCTAGGGTGTGATGCAATGCTATGATCTCCCTTACTATGCTTTGCAGTATATCAGTCCTTGAAATATGACCTAAAATAAACCATGGGCAGCTACTGGGGCCCTTAACATTTCACTTAAGGCTACAAGAATAACACCCTTAGAAACCTAATGAGAAAGTAGGGGTAGTTAATAAAGAAATCCTGAGGTATATCTTGTGGTGAGGCATAATCTGCAGTGGTTATAGAGTGTTTTGGAGTGTGGTTGTCCAGGTCTGTAGTTTGAACTTCTGTCCTCTTTCAGTTCTGCAATAAGCGTTTCTCTAAAAGCACCTCTGGCTTTCCGGTTAAATTAAGTGTTCCCCTAAAAGATATCTATTTCCTTAAGCCATTGCTAAGTATTAGTGTTTTATAGAACTTAAACTGTTTTGATTAAATTACTTACTAGAAGGTAGGTGGGGAGGGGGGACACACAACTGTATGGGTTAAAAATTAAAAAACTTCAAAACTAGACATCAACAAGTAAATAGTGTACAGTTGTGCACACCCCAAAAAGGTGGCTGTGTGGAGCTGGAAGAGGTTGGGGAATCCCTTAAGAAGGGCCAAACTTCTAAATTTTTCTCACACAGAAAAACTTTTCAGTTGCTGAAATGTTTTTGCCTTTCTGGTTTTTGAGGAAAAAATTATTAACCCTAACAGAATGCAGGAAGTTTCTCTAAAAACTTGCTGCTGAAAATTGTAAGAATGTTTTGTTAAGTATTTTTCTAATTTAGAAAAATACTCCTGTTTCCATCTAGCATTTAAAAAATAAAGAAAAATAAACTTCAATTGAAGGAATACTGGCATTTAGTATATGCCTCAAGAAAGTGCAAATACAAGACTGTTTCCTCCAAGTATTACTGATGTAATGCATCCAAAGGAAAAAAGTGAAGAGCTATACTGTTGCATCCAAGCCTGCATGTAAGAGATATGGAACTGTATTTTGACATTGTTAGCCAACTACATCCTGTATTGCAAAAGTGTGGCTGGAGGTGAAGAAGAGAAGATAAAATATTAATGGGTGTTTTAATTTTCATGTTTTTAATCTCAAATTGATAGTTTGCAGGCAACTGTTTAAAGAGAACAAAGACTTTTTAATGCAGTTGAGACACTGAAAAAGAAGTCCTTTCAGAAAGATTGTTTGTACTTGAAAACACAGATAATTTTGGTAATGTCCAAGACAATCTTTGTTTGTCATACCAATGGGCTAATGTGACATGTTCCTTTATAGCCCTCTCTTGGAAGTTATGATCTGTTGATCCAGAATTATTCCACATAATGATTCCTCAGGTATTGATTCTTTAAAATCTAAATATTTTCAGTGGAAAATGTCCATGTAGTACTTTTTCTTATACAATTTTTTTTATCCAGTTACAAAATGTTATGGTGTCTCTCTGTTGGGTGTCAGGCAGACTTTAGGCCTGGGAAAGCAGGTGCAGTTGCTCAGCAAGAGCTAGGGACCAAAAACGTCCTAGTGAGAGAGCTGGTTTGGGGAAGTGAACATCCATGGATGCAGTGATGATGCAAGTGAGGGCTGCAGTATTTAGACATATATATTGCAATGTAAAATGCTATTCACTTGAATTAAGTCTCCTTTTTATATTTTTCTCTTTCCTTTTTTTATCTTTTTCAGTCCCAGGGGACTTAGGTAATCAGCTGGAAGCAAAGTTAGATAAGCCATCGGTAGTGCACTATCTCTGCTCTAAGAAGACAGACAGTTATTTTACGCTCTGGCTGAATCTGGAATTGCTTCTACCTGTCATCATTGATTGCTGGATTGATAATATCAGGTAAGACCAGAAATGTTGCTCTTTGCAGTTACTTCCTTTCCTTAGGCTGACATGCAGAATGGCTGTCTTAAACTTTCTTTTCTGATTCAAGACCAGTGAGAAAAATGGCTTGGAATTCTGCTGGGTAGACTAACAGGAGGGATCTGAAGATGTGGCTCTGTTATGTCTGAGGTAGCTGTTTATCACTGATGAGGAGCAGAGGTTCTCTTGGTTTCTTCCATTTTCTCTCCTACCAGTTACCCAGTGTAGGTTTGGGCACTTATCAGGCACCTCTGTGGGCTTTTTTAAAGAGAATGTTTTCTGCTCTTCTTGGAGCCAGGCTCTTCTCGATGCTGCCAAGCAGTAAGACAAGAGGCAGTGGGCAGAAACTGATGCCCAGGAAGTTCCACCTGAACATGAGGAAGAACTTCCCTGTGCAGTGACCACGCACCGGGACAGATCACCCAGAGAGGGTGTGGAGTCTCCCTCACTGAAGATATTCCAGAACCATTTGGAGGCAATCCTGTGCCATGTGCTTTAGGGACACCCTGCTTGAGCAGGGAGCTTGGAGCAGATGACCCAGCGCTCTCTTCAAGTCCTACCCATTCTGTGATAAATTACCGAGGTCTTGAGGAGGCAAGGGGCAAGGATATACATTGGGAGCTCAGAGGGGACAGGCAGGAGGAAAGTGAGCTTGTGCTTCTGCTGGCACTGTGTCATTAGAAACAGGCTCGTGGGCAGCTGAGACCAGTTTCTACCACTAGACTCATGGAAATGACTGGTGTGGATCATGTTTCATGAAATATTCTGAGTTGGAAGGGACCCACAAGGATTACCAAGTCCAGTCTCTGGCCTGTACAGAGACTGAACCCACAATCTTGGTGTTATTAGCACATAGGGTCCTTTACAGGCAGCCTTAGAAGTCTCTTTCCAGAATTATTTTGATTTAGAAAATAGCTAATTTGAAGCTTTCAGATTATTTCATCATTGTGTGCTTCATTGATCTTCCTCTAAAAATAGTACAAACATCACTCCAAAACCAAGGAATGCTTAGCTTGTGCAATTAAAAATATTGAATTGGCGTGTTGCTCTTTTATGTGAATGTACTGAGTTGTTGTAAAACAGTCTGCTTTGTCTTGCTATGCCTTACAGATTAGAGAGAATTTTGTTGTGAGAAGGTCTGAGTATCAGTTTAGATTCTGTGATTCCATCGAGGGGTAAAAACTGGTACGATATGGTATGGAAAACCAACCAACCCTCAACTAATTTAATTATAATAGTGATTAAAAAACCCCAACTCCTGGCCTAATGCTCCAGATTCTTCATATCTCAAGTTCATTTGAAAAGTATTCACAAAACACTGGACACCTCAGTGCATTTCCTGAGATACTAATAGTAATTAGTCAAGAAATAAAGTATTCTCTTATGCTGCTGTGGGTGTCCCTAGTTAACAGAAATTAATTATTTTTACCTAGGAGAATACTTCTGAGGTCTGATTTTACAGGTATTTTATCTCCTACTGCCATATTCTTGTGCTCTTGACAAGTTTTCTCTATTATGTGGCTTGATGCAAAGTCAAGTGGTACAGAACTGCACAGTGTAGCTCATATTCTAAAACTCAAGTTCAGCCACAGTTCTGTGTACTCAGTTTTATTGAGAAGAAAAGTCTTAGATTCTGAATGTAAAGCGTTTGAGTAATTAAAAGAATTGTTTGTATTGCCTCTTAGCCATTAGAGCACTCTGATCGTGTCTGCCTGGCCTGTTCTTTGTGTGGATTTTTTTCCTCCTTCTGAGTAATAGCACTTGAAGTTCCTGTACTGCACTCAGAATGTGAGACCCAACGTAGCTGAGAGGTCTCATGCAGCAATACAACATGTTTCATGACTTTTTTTCTTCCCCCCTGCCCTAGGCTGGTCTATAATAGAACAAGTCAGATTACAGAACCACCAGATGGAGTGGATATCAGAGTCCCAGGATTTGGGCAGACATTTTCCTTGGAATTTCTTGATCCAAGTAAAAGGAGCGTCGGTATGTACAAGGATTGCTCTTTTGGAAGCGTTCTCCCAAAGGGCAGTAATGTCCTTAATGATCTGTAGCAGATGAGTCTTATAGCTAGAATAGGGTCATGTTTAAAATTCTCCCCTTCAGGGACTATGTAATAAACATCCAAGACTTATGAGTGATGTTCTGCTCAAAACTTCAGATATGACTGTGATGTTGTGTAGGATGTCCAGCCACTGTTACTAGATGCATTTAGCTGTGGTAACACTTAAATCCCATGTGTCAAAGCCTGTAATATGTAACCTCTGTCAATATGCAGTCTGTAACTGTTTCCCTTCTTTGCTATTCAAGTGTTATGTTCAGTTACTTCAGTCTTAGTCCTCTACCTGAGAGATATAAAAGTAGTTTCCAGAATTCTGCCCTGGGATACAAATGCTGTAAGCATTTGTTCGCAAGAATGAATGTTGAAGTCCAGGCCAACATTTATGAATGTGTATTATACCCTACCTGAAGTTAATTTGCAATCAGCAAGAGTTAGGACTCTAATATAGTAACTTCTGAGGTGTTTTCTTTACAGTTCAAGAGTAAGTTTTCCTCTGCTGAGTAAGATTTATCCCCTCTGTGTATAGTAGACTTTCTGCCAAAATCTTTGAGAGATCAGCCACCTAGTAAGAAGTTTTAATAACAGCATTCTCTCAATTTTGGGGGATAGTGGGCATATCTCACTTTGTTTAATGTGCGTGCAGTTTTCTGCTGTTTTAATGTCTGTGTATATGATGGTATCAGAGGTAATGCCCCCAGACTTTGTTTGTAACACTGTCTTGCTGTTCTGTTCTTATCTCTTGTCTACAGGAAGTTACTTTTATATGCTGGTGCAGAGTTTAGTAGATTGGGGCTACAAACGTGATGAAGATGTAAGAGGAGCACCTTATGACTGGCGAAAGGCACCAAGTAAATAACATACTGTTACTTGAACAAAATTTTGCCTCTCCTAGACAGCAAATATGGGTTTTTTGAGTCTCTTCTCCCATCCTGTACAATCATACTTAATTTTGACTGCTTCTTGGGGTCTGGGCACTGCAGGACTCAGATGTGAGCTCATTGTTGTAGTTTCTTTTTTTTTTTTCCCTTTCCCCCTTTAAACAACTTGCTACTTAAAACTTCCTTAAAATACAGAACAAAACAACAGAAAATCCCCACCCCACCAAAGCACATGCCTGCAAACCCCACCCCCCCAATACTGGAATCTCTAAGCTCTGTATTATTATTAATTCTGTAGACAGTTCAGCACAATTATTTAAAAGCTTATGGTTTTAAAGTTTTTAGCATTCACAATTAATAATTATAACTGTGTAATCTGTATGTTTTAGATGAGAACGGAGACTATTTTGTGGCGCTTCGCAAGATGATAGAGTTAATGTATGAGCAGTATGGAAGTCCTGTTGTCCTAATTGCCCACAGTATGGGTAATATGTACACCCTCTACTTCCTCAACCAGCAGACTCAGGATTGGAAGGACAAGTACATCAAGGACTACGTGTCACTAGGCGCTCCGTGGGGAGGAGTGGCTAAAACTCTCCGTGTGCTGGCCTCAGGTGGGTAACTGGAGCGTTTAGTGCATGATACTAAACTAGCCTGTTAACTGTAAGGTTAGGGGATAAGAGTTTAACATACTCTGAAGGTAAAAATATTTTTCTTAAGTGATGACAACTTGATGTTTCAAGCCTTGAAACCAGACTATCATTCTTCCTATTTGTGGGAGTGGACCGAATTTGTCCCCATCCTGTAACCAGGAGCTCTGTCCCCTCTTGACTCCTCCTGACCTCTCCTCTGCAGATTGTTCTGTCATCTGCTGTTTGGCCTCATGCCTTCTATTTCTGTCACTTCTGCCTCCAGCCTGATTGCTCTGTTCAGTATTGCACAGCTAACAAGGGCTCCAGAACATTCAGTAGTTTCTTTTGATTCAAGATCACACAGCTGCTTGAGGTTAACATTAAGGGAAACTTGTAGACGTTGTAGTGAAGTGGTGCCTACAGTGTAAATGTCAGGTGAAAGTTATAACACTACTGATTGAGGTCTGGGGTTTTGCACACTGGATATGCTTGAGACTTAAAAAAAAAAAACAAAAAACGAACCAAACAAACAAATAAAAAACAAACCCCACAAAAATGGAATAAAGAAGCATAACGTATTTTGCTCAGTAACTGCAAATGACTGATGGAAAATGTTCACTTACCCCATCATGTGATACCATAATGATGTCATGTGCTCTGGCATTTAGTTCTTGATGATAATTCTGGCTCGGTTTTGTAGCTTACTTCTGATTTGTTAGCTTTGGATATCGCTGTCTTCTCCCTAATCAAAGCCAACATCAAAAACTGGACTTCATCAAAATGCAAAACACAGAGCAAGTCTCAGCCATGCGTGGACAGAGCAAAGAATACTTTGCTTAGCAAAGGCATTTGAGTCTGAACAGTAGTGCACTGGTCTGTGACTAATTAGAAAACTTAACTCAATACAAACACCCAATTTACACATTGTTAAATGTGTTGCAATGGCACTGTAAAAACTGATTTCCCACAGGCTTCATCTGACATGTTTGTATGCAACAGAAATGGCAGGAAGTGAGCAATGTTAATATTAACTTCATAAAATTATACATGATTATATAAAATTCCAGAGTCCTTGATTTCTGTTGGATTAAACTTCTGTGCTTCATACCTTGTTTATCCTTTATAATGCATTTCATCCAAAGTGGCTAGTTATACAAATGCATAATGAAAAACTAAATTTCTACTGAAACGTAGCCATACGCTAATCTGTATGTCTGTTGTACTGAAGTTCATGTTTTTTGAGCAGAAATCTAAGAATCATATGGGAAAGTGAAATGGGCAGTACCCAATTTCAGAGTGCACAGTTTTAGGCTAGTCCTATCTCAAATACCTGTAAGTAACACACAACCATCAGGCATCAACAGTTGGATTACATTAGTCTGTTAAAGAGTTTATCAGGGTTAGTATGTAGAAGAATTGTTGCTTTAAAGAAAAATACTCCATTTCTGCAGGAAAGACGAGGCATGCTGTGAATGCATTCTTTCTGCTCCCATTCCTGTTTATCATATGTAATGGCCAGGAACTTCATGTCAAATCTAGTTGTGTTATCGAAGTAGTAAACAGGACACGGGCAGAATTACTTTCAGTAGATTTTCTGTGATACTTCCAGCTACTATTCATGTGCTTTGCAGGATCAGTACTTGTATCATTACAGTTGCAGTGCCAGTAAAGTGAGGATATTCTTTCTCCTACAGCAGGCACAGACACAAAGTTCACTGTGGTGGCTTGTTTTGTCAGATTGAAATACGAGCAGTGTCTTCCTTAGATCTAATATTTTGTTCACCATAATGTGAGTGTTGTGCCTGCTGACTTAATTAAATGTGGTCTTGGCCACATGGTAGTTCCTCACTTTAGAGAAAAGTACTTGATAAGCACTTTGTAACAGTTCTGTAAGAGAAGGCTGGAATAGTCAAGTTCTGTGTTTGATTATTCTACTGGAAATAAATGTTGTACACATTCCTTTCATTGTTCAGTTCAAAACTCGGGCTTTCTTTGCTGGAAACTGCCAAGCAGTATTCAGTAGTTAGTGCTGAGAGTGCACAGTTAAGTACTGCTACCACACAGTAATATGAAACAGGTTTTTCGGGACCTTTGTGATTCTTGCTGTGCTCTTGGAGTTTTCTTTTTATGTTTCAGACTTATACCAACAATGCCTTCATGTAGTCCTGCTAAAGATGCATTAAAGATTGTGCTTTATGTCTCCTAGCTGAAGCACTAGTGCCACCTCCTGGAATTGAAATAGCACCAGAGTATATTTTTCAGGAATAGTAGTTTTGGTGTCAGCACTTCAATTTTTATAGCATGGTTGACCTGGACCATTACATGCTGTAACCACCTGGACCTAATTATGGAAAATCTGATTCAAAGTTCAGCTGACAAAAGAACTGAGGTGTGCCAGCCACTGTGACAGTGAAAACAAGAAAAACAAACTTTGGGCTGTCTCAGTATTTGTGGTTTTTTGTTGTTGGTTTTTGTTCTTGTGGGGGTTTTGTTTGGTTTTTTGTTTGATTTTTTTTGGGGGGGGGTGGTGTTTAAATAAAAGCAAATTTCTAGTAATCACTATATAGTTCACTTATGAAGCAGCTTTTAGTTATATGAAGATACAAGATATATAAATTATAACTTAATCATGTGTTAGTTTGAGCCATCTTTGGAATGAACTGCTAAGAAAACAGTTGTCTTGATCTCTACAAAATTTGAGAATGCTTTGGTCAGACAGTAGTTCTGTAATAAGAGTAACTAAATTTGGTAAAAAGATAGCAATTTTGTGGTTTATTTGGTATCAGGTAACTTAGTACCTTTATTGATAATGAGCGAAGCTCTAGCTCTCTAGATTGACATTATATAAAAATGTAATGCCTTGTAAAAGCTTGGCCAGCTGAAAACACTTACCAAGTATAGTAATTATCAACTGGTTTTTGAAGAAATGTGGTTTTATCTGCCTCCCCTCTGGCAAAGATGTAGTTTATGTTACTAGAGTAACCAACTATGAAATATTAGTGCTACATTAGAGAACACCTGTGTTCTGAGGAGTGCAAGTGTTTTAGCAGTCTTGACATGCTGACTGGAAGGGGAGATGCTGATACTGGCAATTTTTCATGGTTCTCACCAGAAGTTAACAAGCTCTAGCTCTTTTGTTGAAGCACTATGCTGAGAGAGTGAACTGGTCACTCAGGGCAGCATTCTTACTTGATAGCATAAGCAGAGACTGTCCTATAAAAAAAAAGCCAATGATAGCCAGCACCAAGGAATTTCCTCCTGGAGCTGGCTATCATTGGCTTTTTTTTTTCTTTTTAATGGGACAGTGAAACTTCTAACAGCTCCTAACTGAAACCACCCCATTCAGTTAGGCCCATATGGCCTCCCTACTACCACAAACCCAGCCACCTGAACCCACGACATTCTATAAAGTTTCTTCATGAGTTCTCACAGATGCTTGCACATTAGAATTTGCTTATTCTTGAAGCAGAAACATGATCTAGGTACCAGAAGCACCGTAAAACACATTTCCAGAAAAGCATTTAAGCATTTAAGACAGAACTTGCAAATGGTCTAAAAAATGCCTAATAAAATCTGATTTCTTACTTGGCCCACAGAGGAAATATTTCATTCTTTACAAAGGAGCATATTGGAAGGGCAGCAATCTTCTTAGTTTAGTTATTCATCAATTTTTATTTCCATTTGTAATTATGAAGACCATCATAAATGAGGAAAAACTCTTTAAATTGTCACTGTAAGCAAAGGAACCAAACTTTTTATTTGCGTTATCACTGTGAGCGCTGGTAATTGCTGCTGATTGAGGTTTATGCTTCGCTCAATGTCTAATGAGATTCCCCTCTCTTGTCTAAGGTGACAACAATAGGATACCCGTTATCAGTTCACTCAAGATCAGAGACCAGCAGAGATCAGCAGTTTCCACAAACTGGATGCTCCCCTACAATTACACGTGGCCTCCAGACAAGGTCTTTGTGAGCACACCCACGGCCAACTACACACTGCGGGACTACCGGCGCTTCTACAGGGACATCGGCTTCGAGGACGGCTGGCTGATGCGGCAGGCCACGGAGCCGCTGGTGTACGCCATGGCCCCGCCGCGCGTGCGCATCCACTGCCTCTACGGCACCGGCGTGGACACCCCCGACTCCTTCCACTACGACAGCTTCCCGGACAGAGAGCCCAGGATCATCTACAGCGACGGCGACGGCACCGTCAACCTGCAGAGTGCCTTGCAGTGCCGCAAGTGGGTGAACAGGCAAAAACAGCAAGTGCTGATGTTTGAGCTCGCAGGGAACGAGCACATTGAAATGCTATCCAACGATACGACTATCTCCTACGTGAAAAAGCTGCTTTTTGATCTGTGATAACCTTGTGTTGATAGTTATTTTCCTCACCTGTGATGCCTTCCCTTAAATATGGGAAAATGCCTTTTAATCCCCTGATATTTAGATATTTGAATTATTTATTTTTCTTTTTTTTTTTTTTAAAGGTTGTGTTCAAGAAGTTGTTTGATGTCCTAAATGTTGTTTGTCTCTGATTTGTGTTTATGATGCTTCATGGTATTTTCACATTCTGCAAATTTGGTCAGATATGCATTTTGGTGCCTGTGGTGTTGTCTGACGTTCATACAGACTTTCATTCAGAGATTGTGCAGCCCCTTGCACGTACTACATGGAACCATAGATACCCGAGTTCCTTTGGGTGGTCTTTGCAGGTTTGGAGTGGGAGGGTTAGGAAGGATTGCACTTTTGGATGCCCATAAAACAAGGGAATGATATTAACAATTTGGGAAGCACAGAAAACTTTTTAAAGGGTCTTGCATATTCTGATCCACAGGACCTTGATTTATAAATGTACATATCTACTAGGTAAGACAGGGAACAGGGCTGCCTGGAACCGTGTTACTGTTGTTGAAATCCAGCTTTCTTTTATTACAGCTTTTGGGGAGAAAAGATAATGTGGGAATTACTTGAAGCTTCTTTATTAGCTATCCTTCGGGGTTTTTTTAAAAAGAAGAAATCGTTTGCTCATCAACTTGCAGAACCATGATTACATACAGTCTGGAGTCTGAGGCATTCTCACCCCGTGCTTTATTTATCAGTGAGGGAATGATGCTAAACTGGTTGCTGCTTGTAGTAACTGTAGCTGTGTGGAGTAGCACAGAAATCAAAGCTAACTGAATACTGGCAAGCAATCTGTACAGTATGGAATTACATTTCTCAGTGAAGAATGGTCTCCTGTAGTGGAAATGGTAATGGATGGTGGGCAGTATTTCAAAAAGAGAAGTGAGCTTCCTGAAATGGGGTGGGGAATGGAAGCCAGCATAATGCCAGATGGAGTATAAGCCTTGCTCTCAGTCAAATGCTTCGTCTCTGATCCAGTTACTGACCGAGCAGCAATTGGATCGACATTGCACGCCACTGAAAAGAAACTTTTTTCTTTGAGACTAAAAGTAATATCCCATTATTTTCATTGTTGCTGTTTCAGGAAGTTGGGATATGCTATTCCTTAAATGTTTCCATAAATTGCTGAACGTGCAAATCTGCTACTTTCCTACAGTATTGTTTTACTCAATGGTAAAAAAGAATAACATCAACTCTGACAGCCACAGAAGTGCTGGCCTAAAGACCATCATATTTCCAACCTTGATTACAGAAGTCCTGTTGGAGAAATAGTGTCACCCAGGGATTCTCTTTGCTTACTTTAAAAACAGTCACCCAGGTAGACTGCACTTAGTTTTCTGAAAATGCAATTTAGAATGCTTTCAAAATGCTAGGTTCTCCAAGAAAAATGTTTTAATAGTTTCAGAAACTCATCAAATTATTAAAGATTCATTACTTAAGAAACTGAAATTGTCTAAAGGGTCAAGTTTTAACTATTTTGATAGCATGCATAAAATGTTTGCTACCATTGGATGTATCAATAGGATGTGCTGAAATGATGGGTTTGAACTCTTGTTATTGTAGAATGGAAACATTTTGGCAGGCTTAAGGTAGGTTTAAGGCTTTAAGTTTTAATTCAGAAATCTCTTGTAAATGCAGAACAACTTGAACTAAGGTCATCAACAAGCTAAATGTCTTCCTAGGTTTTAACTTCCCTATGTAGCTTTATTTCCCCCCTGCCCTCATTTTTTTCCTCTTACTTACATTGAGGAAGTATATACATTTTCCTGAATTTTAAAATGGAACAATAATCTTGCCCTCAGCTGTCCAGGAACCTACAGTTCAGAAGTAAAATTGCGTAGACTTTTCCAGAGTAACTACTGAGTTCCCCCCAGCCTTTTGTGATTGGTAGCTGTTGAAATGAAAAAAAAACAAACCAAAAAAATCCCCCCCCAAAACACAACAAAAAATCCCCACCAGAAACAAACAAGCCAATCAACCCCCCCACAACAACAACAAAAAAAACCAACCTCCAACAAGAAGCAAATTAAAAAAGAAAACCCACAAAAAACTTTGTTAGCCCAGTGATCTATTTTATGCAGGGCTGTCAGCTGGAAAAGCTTCAGGCTTGTGTTCCAAGATTGCTCAAAGATGATAAAGCTCTTCCTTGGTCTGACTCAATTTTTGAATAAATTGTTATACTGCTTTACAATTGAAAAAATTAGAGGAAACAGCTAATTGCAGTCTGTGTTTCTTGCTGAAGTAAATGCCTGTTAGTAAGCACTGGAATGAGTGGAGCTGGAGGCTGTACTGCAGGATACCAACATGGGCAGCAAGGGATGAAAAAATGAGAAAACAACATAAGTAAATGATTCTTAACCTGATCTGAAGAATGTTTCTAAGCTTCATTTAGATCCTTACCCATTACTCAGTAGCATTTTCAGTCTCACAGCAAGAATTTAGCTTCAGGGTTATTTTGTGATTTGAAGTTCCAAAACACATGATACAAAAAGATGTTCTTTTTATTTTTTTTCTTTAATGGTTTTTTAATAGTACTTTTTGTGACTGAAAAGGAAAAAAAGCACAAGTCTTATTCTTTTCTAATTCTGCAATCTCTTACTGTGTTTCTGAGGTCAGTTGACATAAAGATTTATAAATCAGCTTTCTGTTAGTAGACAAGTCCTAGAGTGTCTCCATAAATAAACTTGTGTTAGTTGATAAGGTAAAATGAAGCTGAAACTTTCTCAAGGCATTTGTTTGTTACACTGTTTGTCACTGTAAAGCCTCGTTAAGGGAGTGTGTGTACCTGAGTACTGTGTGAGCACACAGTGCTTCTGGTGGCGCTTGGATTGGATGTGGTGGATCTGCAGCCAATAGCTTTATGTCCAGAAGTTGTGATTTTTTTTTTTCCCCCCACTAAAGGATCCTCAGCCCTTTCTTTTGCAGTTTGTTTCATGTTAGGATGCGATCCTCACTGCAGAGTGACAGCATTATTCCTAGGTGTGTGGTGAGAGCACTCATCATTACTGTTACAGGCCTGCTGGAGCCACGTGCACTTGAGCATTCTAGATTCTGGGGGAGAGACAGGTCTGAAGAAATAAATCTTTAAGGAGAATGTGGCACTTTCAGAAGAGGATTAACTCGGGTGCTTTGCCAAGCTGCACAGCTCGTTTGAATTTACTGACGTACCTTCGTTATACCTAATGCACTAATTATGTCTCTCCATTATTTTTACTTTGTTTTATTCTTCCAGGATGTTTTCAGAAACCAAAACTAGTCTTGAGGACCAAATGTGCTTCTTATTTTTGACAAGGTGTATCAAAAATGCTGCGGAAGCTTTCAGCTGTCATTGTAATACTTCTGAAGAGGTTCAGAGTCACTATGTGATTCTGTATAAAAACAGAAGACTTCAATAACTAGCAATAATTGCAAAGGATTTGCAGACCAAAAGAAGGAATGTTTGGTATTAAGGTAGTTCTTGGAGCACAGTGTGTTCAAGGCCCTCTTAAATTCAGGGAATGTTTGGCAATGACTTTGCTACACTAACCAGTATTTTGTACGGAACACGTTCTGAGACCTAGCATTTTATATGTTCTTGTGTATGAATGCGTTCAATAGATTTGGAATATTTTATTGTCAAATTTGATAATATAAATAAAGTTGATCTAATACAGTTTGTCTCCTGTTGTTCCTAATGTGCTGCCTCAGTGCTCAGCTGGAATGTCAACGTGGTGCTGTTTTTCTTTCCCACAGATTCTTGGTGTCTCTCAGGGTGTCTAACTGATTACTTATTGGTTCATCTTCCAAGATATCTTGTGATACATTTGGAGTTCTCTGTTAATTGTCCTAGAATTTATGGAGGTGTGGGTTTTCAGGATGCCTTCTGTTCAGGTAATCATTTTGAAATTAGTTCCCTAGCATGATGCAGTCAAGGAAAGTTATTAAGCTGACCTTAATTCAACACATTTTAATGAGAACTATACAGCACAGACTTTCTCATTCAATCTGCCCATTCTCTGTTAGAAACAAGCAGTGCACACAGTGCTTTGTAAATAGTGCAGGAACTAAGTTAAGGCTGAAGTGCCTTATCTCCTGTACTGAAACAACAATTCCTGGGGAACTGATTTAAGAGGATCAACACAGTTTTTTCAGATGCTATTTATGCCAAGACATATCCTGGATGTGAGCCACATTCAGTAATAAGTTCCTGGGGACAGGAATATGTTTATGTAGATTTATGCCTTTTGTACTGGTAGACATCTTTGGCAGTCAGTAGTATTAGAGAATTGTGATCATCCAAAGGTATTCATGTTAGTTATGTGTTTCACATATCCTACAGGTTTTCCGTTATGGGATTTTTTCAGCTTGTGTTTGAACAGCTAGAACTGACTGGAGGGTGTTTTTAATTCTGGAATGACTCTGATGCTGTATTTTTCTTATGAAGTTGGGAGATGAAAGGTGGGAAGCTTAACAAATACAATTATACAAGTATTTGTTGTTTTGGTCCTACTGGTTCAGACATACTGTGATTTTCTTCCCCAAAACTTTGAATACTTTGTTTACTTATATCTTTGGTGTACATGTGGGCTGGGTGACTGATGACAGGAATAAGCCTCATAAACCGGCCAGGAACTGTGACTTGTATGGTTTTATGATCTAAATTAACAATGCAGTAGTATATAACTTACAGGGTTTGGTTTCTGTTGTTGTTTTTTTTTCAATGTTGAATGGCATCTGTGGCAGTTAATCCCACATGAAGATACTGCATCCTTGACTTTTCATTTACTGACAAATTTGTCAGTAGATGTTACATTTTCCATGTTTCTATTACATGTGTTAGTACTTTTATGCCAGACTGTGATACAATGAAGAAAAATGTAAGTAAAATATGACACAGGACATGACAGGACAATGGGGAATGGTTTAGATTGGATATAAGGAAGAAATCCTTTACCAGGAGGGTGGTGAGGCACCGGCACAGGTTGCCAGAGAAGCTGTGGATGTCTCATCCCTGCAAGTGTTCAGAGCCAGGCTGGATGGGGCTCTGGCAACCTGGTGTAGTTGAAGGTGTCCCTGCCCATGGCAGGGGAATTGGAACTTAGATGATCTTTAAGGTCCCTTCCAACCCAAAATATTCAATGAACATGAAAGATAAAACAGCAAACAGTCAATTAAAAAATCCCTTAATCTAGTTTTGGCTCCTAATTCAGTGACACAAACACTCCTCTTCCTGCCTTCAATTCAAACCTTTTCAATCAGGTTTTTGTCACTGAGCCCAAGCTATTTTCTCCTGCTTAAATAGTTAGCAAAGTGTCAGCACCTTAAGCAAAAATAAACCTTCCAAAGCCAAACACTGCATGAAAATCTTCCACACAGACAGAAGCAAATGGGTAACAATAAAATGTGACGTACAGCTTCTTTTTGGAGGGACACCAAATGCTTTAAAATAATGGCAAATTAAGTTTGAGAAATCAATGTTTTCTTAGCAGGGATGCCTATGAAAAGACAGCAATTAGCTCAGAGCTTAAGAGTGGGTGTCAGATAATGAGAAAAGAAAGACCTGAAATGTCAGGAAGGCAGCAGGACGAAGTGGGAGGCTGGGCTGGTAGAATGTCTCTCAGGCTATGATGTATTTGTGTTTGTTTTTACAATCTGCTCCTCAAAGCAGAGGGAAAATTCTGACTCAGTGGGGGATGAGGAAAAAACATGTAACTGGCTGGCCTGCAGTTACTGGTGTTTGACTATCTGATGGCAAAATCTGCTTGGCAAATGCTAATGGAAAGCTCCCTGGGGTCTCAGTTGGCCAGCAACTGACTTGGATTGCTGAACAGTGAGGGCTGGAGATGTCTGGGAATCCTGAAGTTATCAAATATTTACACAAAATACACGTATAGATCATTTGCCTTAAGAGCATGTTTCTTGTGAGAAGCAGCAAAGAATCTGGATTTACATGTGGAGAAAGAGAAAAGGAGACAAAATGTTTGCTATCTCCACCTAACTAAAGGTAATGTAGCACTCCATGTGTCAGTGGTGCTCATTGCTCAGTGATCCCATGTGGGAAGCGGCTGTGTGGTGGGATTATGTGGATACAATGAAAGAATTCCATACCATTTGGGAAATGAGTAGTCATAAACTCAAAAAAGGATATAGCAAGGAAAAGGGAAAAAACAAGAGTTTCATCTCCTTATTGGAGCAAAGAATGCAGCGTGTAGTTCTGAGACTGCAAAGAGCCAAGCTGGTTACAGAGCAAGCAAAGCTACCTTGCAGAAATGCTACAAAGCAAAACTGTCCACTGAAATCCAATTTATTTGTAGTAGACTGTTGGATGTAAAAGGGATTGTGATATTCAGACACCAAAATCCATCCATTTTTGTTCCTTAACACAGATCTTCAAGGACAGTGTTTAAGAAAGGATACACTCAAATGCTCAAAGAAAGTTTACATCAATTTTCAGGGAAAAGATATTGTTTAGGACTAGTGTCCAAAACCTTCTGTCTTTATAGACATGTTCAGCAATGCTGGCAGGGTGTAAAAACCTCGAGTATATCTCTCATTTACATTATGGTATTGTAATGTTTTGTCTACAAACACTGAAGTCATACTTTGTCTTTTAACAGAGAATTACTGATGATATGTAAGGAGGAAAGACAAACAATCTAAGTGGAAATAGTTCATTGCCCACAGACTTGCATATAAACAGTTAACACAGCTTACATGCTTGATTTTTTTTTCTACTTTAACACTAAACATCATTACTGTAAAGCCAACTTTGCTGCCTTCTAACATCAGTTATACAAAGAATTGTATTAAAACTGTTCATAAAATAAGCTTACAGTATTTAATAGGAGCATCTATAAACCTGCAACCTGTAAAACAGTCCT